TTTTTTTTTTTGCTTTTTGTTTTTTGTTTTTTATTACTGTTGTTGTTGCAAATTTGCCCGCAAATACAGTTGAGATTTGATGGAAATGCATTAAACTTATATTTAACTTTGAAGGGCACTGATATTTTCACAATATTAAGTATTGCCTAAAAAGACAAGTTGCCTTTGAAGTTCATGAGGCAAGTTATATACAAGTTCTTCATGTAGTTCCTGCATTTTTGAAAGTTTTACTAAATTATTTTCTTAACTTTCTTTCTCCTTTGAGTATGTTCAATTTTTTTTTTTTATTTTGGACTTACAAATCATACATCTAGACAAAATTTATTTTTGAAGAATTCTTGAACAGTTCTATTTCTCATCTTTTAAGGGGTAGTCTTCATTGTTGATAATAATTTTTTATATTTTTCAATATCCTTGGTTATTTTCACTGGAATTTGTCTATCAGAGTAATTTAATTGAAAAATAAAATGTCACTGCCATCGTGTACCCGAATTCTATCAGCTAATTTATGGGAAGAAAATGCTGAACCACCTTTTCCCATTGTGTTTGTGCTTTGAAGGAATGCACCAATCCCTGCTGCGAAGCCCTGACCTGTAAACTGAAGTCTGGACCTGATTGTGAAGGAGACACTTCAAACCATACCATGTAAGACCTTTTGTTTTCTTTGTTCCAAAATGTTTTCTCACTTTTGTTTCAGATTTGAGAAAGATATGCCACTGAGTTCTATTATACAATAAAACACAATGTATTTTATATTTTTTAAATGACTCAATTTTGGAGATTAAAACTAGCAACCATTATGAATATAACTAAGGATGTGTGGACAAACACTCATGAGAAAGTAGCTACTTTGACATCTGTGAGATCGGGGCTGCTGGAATCCATGCCAAAAACAGTTTCAATTCCTATTAGTGATAAGTTTAATACAAACTTAAATGAAAACAGAAGAGTGTATTTTAAAACGGCCTCAGTTGATGAGCTCATTTTACATTTGGTTAAAAGCTGATAGTTTTAATTTGCAATGCTGTCAGAAAATCAACAGCATTTAAGAACATTCTATACTATTTGACAGCTTTATTTCCTTTAAAGTATCTCAGTGAGTCATAATTCAGGCATTAGCTCTGTGTCTTAGACATCCCCTATGTGAGTTGGACTAGGAAACCCAGCGACTTGGAATATGGTACTTGTTGCAGTGAAAACTAATCTCTAAATATAAAAATGGCAACAACCACAAAAATCAAAAATAGGGGAAAGACTCAACACATTTTCTTTACCGCTTTTTCCTGAATCTTTTCTGAAATTGAAACTGTCGAGAGAGTACAAAGAAAATAATTTACTCCAGCGCCATCAGCTATCATTTTATTGGGAACGGGTTGGCAAGATCAAAGATAAGGACCAAGCCTTGTTTATTTACCAAGCACCATTTAATACAGCCTGCTGGGAATCATGGAATTAATCCACTCTCCAGGGAATTCTAGAAATTGTGCCCAGGCCAGAAACATAGCAATTCAGATGAAAAAAAAAAAAATCATCCACCTATTTAGAGGCTTGGAACCCGAGGTGAACATGCCCCTTATTGTGCAAGATAAGCAATTTAAACCATGGAAAGAAAATTGAAGGTGGACTCAGGAAACTAAAATTCTAATCTTTTCTCCCAAAAACTAGCTCTGGAACTTCAAATCCAGTTAACTTAGTTTTTTTTTTTTTTGACTTATAAGATACAGTTAATGATATTGTCTCTTAAATAATATGAATTGTTATTCATATAATTTAAATTCTATACATTTTCATTATCATTATTGCATAATATTTTATAATTTATAATAACCCTGGCTTCCAAACTTTACTTTTCCTTTAATCAGAGAGTGAATCAAAAAGTCTACTTCACTGAGATGCTACCTTGCCAGGATGAGGACCAAGCTCTCTCACTGTGCAGGAATCTTGTGAATTTTCACCTTTGTATTTCGACATACTGGTCTTTCACTTGCCATTCTACTTTCTATATTGTTATCGGTTCAGGAAACAGGTAAATAGATGTACTTAGAGACCTTGCCTGTTTGTTTAGGCCTAATCTTTCATGTTTTGTTTAAAGATCATGAAGTTTGGACTTTGTTCTGCTCTTTGGGGAGCAAAAGAAAGTAGCCTTTGATCTAAGCACCTTAAAACGCACTGCTGAATTATTCAGTTAATCCAGAATTTTTAAATTACAAGTATTGTGCTTTAACATTTCTTTCATTTTACTAGTATGGCCTATAAAAAGAAATACCGTTTGATGGGTGAAGGCTTTGGCAATAGAAAGAACAGAATTCAGGTTTTATCTTATTCCCCTATGTTCACCTTGCCTTTTGCTTGAAAGTGTAGTATATTTCTATGTCATATGAAGAATGATTAAATGTAAACATTTTTTATTTTATCATGTATAATCTTATATACACTTCCTTTCACCATCATATATGAAGTTTATTTTGAGAAGTCTACATTTCTTACCATTTAATCGAGCCAGCAAAGAAGGCTTAATGATTTAATGAAATGCAATGTCAATAAAAGCACTTTTGAGGATTTTCTGTGTGGTCATTTTAAAAACTGAATATTTTCAAGCTTCTTTGAAGGTTTGTGTTAGCTGTTGAAGACCCACATCATTAGAAAGTTGTCACTTTGGTAATTCAGTAATATTGCCACAGATAGCCAAGCAATGCTATATGGATCTGATAAAAGGAGGTCGCATCATCTTTTAATGCCCAAAATGGAATGATGTGAGGCCAGTCACACAGGAAAACTAGGTTTCTTCCTGAGGTTTCCTTCTCTAAATAATTTTTAACAATTGATAAAAGTCACCTAAATTTCCATCAATGCCGATCCTGGGACACTAGAAACTTAGACCTATTTCTAAACATTGGGCTTTGAAACCAAAGGCCTCCTGGGATGCCCTGTCTCCCCCTTCATGACCTTGCTGAACTTAAAATACCATTAGATCCCCCAATGTCATTACTGAGTATGTATCCAAAGGAATATAAATCATTCTATTATAAAGACATAGGTATGTGTATGTTCATTGCAGCATTATTCACAATAGCCAAGACATGAAACCAACATAAATATTCATCAATGATAGAATGGATAAACAAAATTTGGTACATATATACCATGGAATACTATGCAACCATATAAAAGAACAAGATCACGTCCTTTGCAGGGAAATGGACGGAGCTGGAGGGCATTACACTCAGCAAACTAGCACAGGAGCAGAAAACCAAATAGGGCATGTTCTCATTTATATGTGGGAGCTAAATGATGAGACACATGGACGCATAGAGGGGAACAACACACCCTGGGGCCAATTGGAGGGTGCAGGGTGGAAGGAGGGAGAGGATCAGGAAAAATAACTAATGGGTAGTGGGCTTAATACCTGGGTGATGAAATAATCTGTACAACAAACCCCCATGACACAAGTTTACTTATCTAGCAAGCCTGGACATCCTGCACATGGACCCCTGAACTTAAAATGAAAGTTTAAAAAATTGAATATATATACCATGGAATACTACTCAGCCACAACAAAAAATGAAACCATGTTTTTGCAGCAACATGGCTGGAGCTGCAGGACATTGTCGTAAGTGAAATAATTCAGAAACAGAAAGCCAAATGCCTCATTTTCTCACTTCTAAGTAGCTAAATAACGTATACACATAGGCGTAGAATATGGAATGACAGACACTGGAGGCTCAGACGGGTGGGCGGGTGTGAGAGGGGTGGGTAATCAAAAATTACCTAATGGGTACAATGTACATTATTCAGGTGATGAATACAATAAGATCCCAGACTTTATCATTAAAAAAAAAAGATGTTAGGTTTCTAACACAATCCCAACATTGTATTGGGATTTATGCACACTGGATCCTAGCACATAGGATTCTCTGGAATCTCTTGTAGCATTCACAACTGGCAAGAGAAAAATAGATATGAAGTGCTCCAGAGGTCAGATCCTAATGCTTTAAATGTGGTTATTATCTTGATCTAGAAAAAATTGAAAAAAAAATATGTACCTCTAATAATTAGACTAGATGAAAAGACCAATCTAATTAAGCCTTAGACATCACAGAAACCAAGGGATATGTCAGATACATGTCCATATGCATTTGTGCACGTGTGTGCACGTGTGTACTTCCTCAGAGGACTCCATTCAAACCGGAAAGATCTTAACACATCCAAAGAAAAGTCTGAGAAGCCAGCTTCCCTACAATGTCAGTGAGTGAGGATGCTAGATAAGGTTCAGTCACCCCAGAGAAGACCGAAGAAGAGCACAGGTGTTGGCATGGGGCTATGGGAAGGGAGGAGGCAGCACATGGAAGATTTCACTGATCAAACTGCTTTGCTGTGGATGGTGAGAAATGAAGATGAAACAGAGAACTGATGAAGAGTTTGCTGATTAAAGTGACATTGCAAGGTAGAAGAGGGAACAAAATCAGAACAAAGAAAGGACCTTCATGAGGGAAGTCATGTAGTAGTATGCGTTTTGGAAAAAGAAGTAAGAAATTGAACTGGCTATTTAAAAAGGAAGACAAGTATTTTGAGCTTTTACAGAAGTCAAATTTAAAAGAAACACACAAAATAAGTGTTGGAGGTGATGGATACCCCAATTACCCGGATTTGATCACTGCATGTTCCATATATGGATCAAAATATCACATTGACCCCAACATATGTACAATTATGATCTATCAATTAAAAATACAAAAAAAAAAGTTTAAAAATAAGATCCTTGTATGAAAGGCATGGTTTAGAAGATAACATTGCAGGCTGAGATTAAGAAAGTCAATACCAAATGAGAAATATCCATGAATAAGGATATTTTAGGGAGGACTTTACCTGCTGTAATACACTCAAATAGAAAACAGATGAAAAGCATGGAATAAATGCTATGTTTTAAGGGAGGCATTCTCAAGTGAACATTTAGAATCTTGTGCTGGACAATATCCCTCAATTGGACTTTCTTCCTGGAGGTTTCTTTAGAATTAGGGTTTGGCCGGGCATGGTGGCTCACACTTGTAATGCCAGCACTTTGGGAGTCCCAGGTGGGCAGATCACGAGGTCAGGAGATCAAGACCATCCTGGCTCACCGGGTGAAACCCTGTTTCTACTGAAAAATACAAAAAATTAGCCAGGCATGGTGGCACATGCCTGTGGTCCCAGCTACTCAGGAGGCTGAGGAAGGAGAACTGCTTGAATCCAGGAGGTGGAGGTTGAAGTAAGCCGAGATCGCGCCACTGCACTCCAGCCTGGGGACAGGGCAAGGCTCCATCTCAAAAAACAAAGCAAAACAAAATAAAACAAAAGAATGAGGGTTTGAGAAAAAAGGAAAAGGGTGTCCATAAGCCCGGGACCTCACCATTTAGCACATTGTATAAAACTCTCAGACACCAGAAAAATGAAAGAAAGAAAGAACTAATGCATCACGAGAGAATGGGAGAAGAGGGCTGTACACAATGTCTTTCTGGCTTTGCCCAGCCACAAACCCACCACCATCTAGTAACATCCCTAAATTGGCAGAATTTTTCATTCTGAAATCACATTAACCTATATTTTAGTATCTCCATCTGCACAAAATAAGAGGCAAGAAGAGAGAAACCTGCAAAAATAAGAAAGTCCTCCCACCCATCACAAAGGTTTAAAAAAAAAACAAACCCAACATGCTGTTGGCTCAGGTATAATAAGGGCCCCAGGATACAAGAAAACAGTGAGAAATCAGAGGAAAGGGAACATAACAAGGTTTTCATGGACAGATGGGAAGAAGCTGAGAGTAAGAGCCAAGGTTTCAAAATTCAGTACCGAGAAATTTAAATTAGAGGTAGGCATTTAGGAGAAAAATGCAAAATTTCTCAAATATTGTGAAGAGAGCCCCTGAAGGGCCAGTTGAGGTGGTCTGCGGATGCACCACGCGGATTCCTGAGAAAGTCAGGCTTCCTTCTTACAACTGCATCCTCAATCACAAAAAAGAAAAGCAAAGCCAAATAAAGGGCTTTTCTGAAAAATAATTTTATTCTATCCTTAATAAAAACAATAAATAAATACTGTGATAACACACAAACTTAAATAGAGTCGCTTTTCCAGGGTGCGGCTGTCAGACCTTAGGGCAAACCTCAGGACAAAGGACTGGCAAGTCTTTATGTATCATGCCCAGTTCCCTTTCAGCTCCTGATTTTCCAGGTAGGGAATTGCATTTTATTACTGATTTCCTAATCTTTCCTCCTCAATTCCTGATCCCGTTCATTCCTAAAATTCCCTCTTGAGAACCGTCTGCAAGGAGCCCCTGACCTCCATGGACGCTTTCCACCAGGAGCCCACTTAGCAGGTGACAGGGAAGGTGAACCCACTGCCTCAGCCCCACAGGTCTCTGTGCCCACAGAGCAGGGTGGGAGGAGAAGGCCTTCAGGACCGAGTTCTTGGCCTTTCTTTGCCTTTGCATTTCCTCTGCATTTTTCCTGCATCAGATGGGCTGCGACTGGTGCACTGTAGCTAGGCAGAGTAGGAGATCTCTGCATCCTGGTGTAGGGACCGGACTCAGGCCTTTGTGGGCAAAATCGAGGACCTTGTACGCCCTCGTGTGGCCATAATGTTGATAGCAGCAGAGCCCAGGTCTCCATCTTCCGTTCAATCCTAAAACTGAACACAAGCCGCAGAGAATGGCTTTATTGCTGGCCTCTAGTGGTGCGGGTCCAGCCATTTGTGAGCACGTGGCCGTGTCAGGCAGGAGAAACCCAGATTCACAGACAGCTTCCACCGGACAGCTTCCACCGGACCTGAACCGCAGCCTGCCCAAGCCTCTACCCTCAGCCAATCTCAGGCCCTTCAGCTCACCTGAACAAAAAGCTGAGCTTCTTGGGCTGAAAACCGCATCCCTGGCCAAGCCTCATTCACTCCGTTCAGCAGAAGCAACCCCTCTATTATTACCTGTTGAATGAAACAATAATTGACCTCCATCTCCGTTCCACTTTGTATTTGAAACTGAATTTGAGACTAAGAGTTTGCAAGGTTCCTCTTTCTTATTCATGGCTGATTTGGACAGTTTTCTGCCTGAGAAGAATCTTGGAAGGAGAAAAGAACATCCATGCTCTGGAAACGGTGTCCCTGGGGCAGTGCTAATGTGCCTCAGGCACACACATATTCACAAGCAAGCTGAGCACACCAAGTCACTCCAGAGAGTGACCGACGGCTTCCACAGAGACCCACCCAGCTGTCACCTGCAGTCTGCGCAGGGGATGGTTGACCACAGGTTTGTTGTCTCTACTCAGGAGTGCAAAAGGAGAAGGCCAAATACTAAGGAGATTCTGGCTTATTGTCCAGGGATATGAAAAGAAGAAGGAAAAGGGGATTCGAGGAATCGAGGGTCCAGGTGAACAGTTTCTGGGGCAGATCACCCGCTCCAGACTGTCTTTGAGCAGAAACAGACCCCTTGCCCAGACTAGCAGGCTAGGCGGGTAACCTCAGCCCAGATGGCCAGAAAAAAGCCTGCTCAGGCCTGTCAGGTGGATTTCCAGGTAAGGGACTTTCAGGGAGTTTAA